CACAGAATATTAAGGAAATGACCAACATAAATCTTTGTCAAGTAAGAAGACTCAGGTTTCTGATATTAGTGTCTAGAAACTAGGATGAACTAGTCCCATTTTTACATGATACTGGTGATCTCAGTAGTCTTTCAGAATTTGATATTTCCATCTAAGTCACTGTTGGGGTATAGCTCAGTGGTGGAATGTATCGTCAGCGTGCCCAAGGCTCTGGGTGCAATCTCTGGCACAAAAAAACAAAAACAAAAGCAAAAAAATTAAAAAAAAAACCAAAGAGGCATTTAACTCATATTCCTATGCCTTCAGGATTTTGAAATATCTGAAATATTACCTATCATGAAACATTATAATCATACAATATATATTTTCCAAACATAAACTTTCTATCAAACCAATAAAAAGGTACATATTTGCCTTTTGTTTCCTATAGAATAGTTCAGGCGGCTCATGTAGTAGCATGTTTAACTTTACTGGAGAAAAGATGTTTTCATTTCAACCTGTCACTTGATATGGAATAAAAATGGAGAAATACATATAGACGGGGTTATTTGTTTTGGTTTGTAGAAATGAGGATTGAGCCTAAGGGCACTCTATCACTGAATTACATCCTTAAAATTTTTTATTTTCATATTTAATTTGAGATAACATCTCCCAAGTTTTCCAGGCTGGCCTTAAAGTTATGATCTTCCTGCCTCAACTTTCAGAGTAGCTGAAATTGTAGACATGTACCACTACATCCAGTTTATAAACCAGTTTCAAGATTCAGCTTTCCTACATGACAGGAACAGTGGCAGCATTTACCTCTAGAATTGTCTCAGGAACTAAAGGAAAAGAAGAAGCACTCAGAGAAAAATAGAGAAAAGAAAACAATATCAGATGTCATAAATATGAAAGCTGCTCTTGAGGTCAGTGTAGTTGATGAGTCACACTCTTTGCTACATCAATTTATTTTCATGTTGCGTAAACGCTGTGTTGTTACTCTTGAGTAACAGTAGAGTCAGAATCTTAATCTGTGAAAATGGAATTTTTCAGTATTTCTACAATGAATAATGAAAGGTATAACTTGAATGATTTGGGTTGAGTGTAAGCAAACTCTGGCTTGGAAAGAGAAAAGAACATGAAAGAAGTGATTAAAAGCTGTAATAAATCTCTTGTAAGTATAGTCAGACTCTGATTTAATAAAATAGTCAGGGATATACTCATATCATTTCCACAAAAACACTGTGCTTTAAATTGATTTAACTCTCTGGTTTTAAATGGTTGTTATCATTTACTGCTCATGAATATGTGGACTGGCCGGTCAGGCTTCTTGGTATTGGACAGAGGCAGTCAGATATCCATAGTCAACTGTGGTTTGGGGACAGTTCTTTTGAGCTCTCTGGGGTGGGTGGCCACCAGATGGCCTCAGATGGGTTTAGTGGGCACAGGGGAGCTTTTTTGCATTGGTTTCTCCCAACTCTCCAGCAGGACAGCCATGGATTATACTTCACAGTGCCTGGAGACAGTAGAGGCTTAGGCTCAGCTATATTTCATATTTCACTTCAGTACTATTTTTCTAGTTCCATGACCAGCTCAGATTTGAAGAGTAAACAGAGACTCCAGTGCTGAATGGAAGACACTAAAAAATCAAAGGATGTGGATAGACAGAGGTAGAAAATTGGGACTTTTTTTGTGTTCAGCCTACCAGGGTGTTTTACTTGAATTTCCTTCTGAGCAATATTCAAAGGCTTACAAACATCTGGGAAACTTCAGAAAATTGGACATTGCTACACTAGCATGCCACTACAACAAGCAAGCCAAATTTGTACTTAAAGGGATCTATAAGACATGCCAACTATTTTTATGAATGTACAAGTTTGGCTGACTTACGTTTTTTAATAGTTGAAACATCCCATTTGTGCTGCTCAAGCAATCAAATTAGATGCAGTAACTAGTGGTGTGACCTCTTGCCCAGCCATCCTTTTAACAGGATGATTCTTTTTTTTTTTTTTTTTTGTCTTTTTCGTTTTTATCGGTACCGGGGACCGAACTCACGACTGCCTGCTTGCAAGGCAGGTGCTTATGCCGCTGAGCTAAATCCCCAGCCCCTAACAGGATGATTCTTAAGTTAGTTTATATATTGGGTTTAATTTACAGAACAAATGTCATTTTTTCTGAAAGCATCCATCTCACTTCTACCATATTTTTAGAAGGAGGAAAGTTATCTTTCCTTTCTTATATTTGAAAATGTAGGTTCTAATGAAAAGTGTAGTTATATGGCACAGTTACTTACATTTCTCAGTACCATAAAGTGCAGGTAGGGGAAAGTATTTACAACTCCTTTCTTCTTCTAGGTGATTTGTGTATCTAAACATAGAGAGTCAGGGTGAATTTAGATTAAAGACAATAACATTTTTGCTTGGTCTTTGTTAATAATAAAATGTTATGCTTGCTTAAGTATTGAATAGACCAAGAATAGAATTTAAAAATATCATTGGGAAAATAAAGCCATGACATGAAATATGAAATTATATATATAATTAAGAGTAACTATTCCTCCACTGATGCTTGTTAGATATTTTAGGGTGTAGCAGAGGCAGCTGCTCAGTAGAATTGTTGCCATGTTTGCTCCTATGACAAAGCTGGAGATCAGAAAATGCGTCGGTGCTCCATTCAGAGGAGTCCAGTTTCCTAACCAGTTAGGAGCTAGGAAAATCACTTAACATGTTGGGCTGCAACTTACAGTGTTTTTAAATAGTTCTATTAGGAATTTAAAATAATAGAAATGTGTTTGTAGTAGGTGTTACGTAAAAAGGTATTACTGTTATTCCAATATCTCTTTGCCTAAATTTCCAGTTAGAATTCTTAACTTCTCTCAAGTTTTTATCTCTCTGGCTTGTTGAATTCCTCTTGAGTTTCAAGGCATGCACTGATTTCACTCTATGTGTGAAGAGAAATGTTTTTATTTGCTTGTTTGTTTTTGTTTTAACGCAGGGTCTTTGCATTGAGTCCTTTTTTATTTTTTATTTTTATTTTTTTGAGGTACAATCTCACTAAGTCACTAAATGGCCAAGGATGAGCTTGAGTTTGCTATTCTCCTATCTCAGCCTCCCACAAGGCTAGGATTATAGGCACGCTCCACCATGCATGGCTAAAATTGAACTTTTGAGCAAGCCTTATGTTTAAGAGTTTGGTTTTGGCTTTAATTTGTCCAATAATAGTGTCCACTTTACCATTTTCTTCATTGAATTCATATGTTTACTTCAGTGGGGTATCCGTGACATTTTAAGGTAATAGTCATTGTTAAATCCTATTAAATGAAGATGAATCAGGGTTCAAATCCTGAGTCCTACCTTACTAATGACATGATACTGATCAGCGATTAGTTCACAATCCTGATTTCCTTACTTTTAAATCAGGGATAATAATATTACTTATCTCAGGATAGTTGTCACTATACAGATGATAATATGTATAAAATAAACTAGTAGTAGTCATTTTGTAAATAATGATAAAAGTCATAACTACCTTGATCTGTGGAAGTTCTTTGAGGGCTTTATAATCAGTGTAGGAGAAAAGACTGAAAATACTAATTCTGGGGTTGCCTACTAAACAGCCAAGCGTGATCACCCTGCAGAATGAGGCACACTTACTAAGCTCTGCCCATGTACAGGCACAAAGACTTTTTTTCTTGTTCCACATGTTAAATTGGCCACCAAAGATCATCAGGTGTTGTGGACAGTGTCTGACATGAAAAATAGACACAAAGCAAGCATGAAAAAGCAAAGACAGAGAACAAAGATCAGCCACTGTAAGACTTTAGAAAAGTAGATAGATATTATGAAAGATTGAAAAGGAGATCAGGATGCTTTACAAATAATTATTCAGAGTATAAAAAGCGGTCTTTAAAGTCAAGATCAAGAAGAAAGAAAAAAATGAGACAGAAAATTTGAAGGAAAAGTTAGAAAATTCCACAAAGGATAAAGGCACAAAAACAAAAATTAAAGGATCATTCTAGATGGCCTAATTTCCAGAACATAATTTGTTTCAGGAGATAAAATAAAGATATAATCAGTGTGGTAACTCTAGAACGTTTCTCAGAATAATAAGGCGTAGTTTTCTAAATTAAAAGAACCTAATGAGTGTACAAAAAATAGTGAGAAAGCAAAAGAATAAAAAGAAAATTATAAAAATCATATAGATGCAGAATACAGGAAATGATAGGCCAGTTCCACAAATTTCCAGGAGGAAAAAAGTCAGAACAAGACAAATAGTTTCCATGTGGAGGATCAAGAAAGACAGTCAGGTTTCTTAAATGCAATAATGTTAAAAGACAGTGAGAGAAGGAAAACCTTCCACATTCTAAGACATTCTGATTGCTGATCTAGTTTAGAAATCTTTCAGTCAATCAGTAAAGGCAGAATAAAGACATTTGCATACATGTCAATTCTCAAATAATGCAGAGGAACTCAGTGCTATCTTCTCAGGAAGCTACATAAAGATAAAAATCTCGGAAGCACAAGGATCAATCAAAATAAAGAAGACGTGAATTCAGAGATCCAACACTGGGACTGGGGTAAAGGGAACTAGCAGACTGGTAGTGAAGGGAAAACTCCCTAAGTGGTACAGAGTTCAATGAGGACAGCAGAATTCTCCAGCAAAATCCTTTTCAAGAACAGATCCAGAAAACAAGCATCATGCCTGCACAAGTTACAGGGAGCTTTCAACAACTGAGGCCATTTATTTCTGTTTTGCATTAACCAACCTCGCTGATCAAATGATAAAACAAGGTACACAGAACCAAACATTGTGCAGGAAATGAAAAGTAGTCATGGAAGCTGCATAGCACGGACTCAAACTCAATTACATAAATATATATAGAATCTTGTAATTATGTCATATAGCCTATAGAAAATGCAATGACAACAATTTATGCCTGAAATTTTGAGCTAACTAAAATTATTGTGGGATAGTGAGGGTGGGGGAAAGATGAGGAGAGGACAATGAAAAATCCATCACACCTGAGATCCCAGTACTCTGGGAGGCTGAGCCGGCAGGATATCAAATTCCAGCTCAATCTGGCAACTTCATGACTTAGAAAAACCCTGTAACAAAAAACAACAAAAAAAAAATAATTAAAGGGTTGAGATGTAGCTTAGAGAGAAAGACCTGGGGTCCTTGTCCTCTAACGTGTGCACATGCACATCCATGCACACACACACACACACACACACACACACACACTTTCTTATTTTCAGGGCTGCAAAGTCAATACCCAATGAACAGAGTAAATCAGTGAGTACAAATATAAATATGATATTTCATGCTATGGAACTAAATGCCAGAAAACTCAGTTAAGTAATTGAAATAAAGAGAGGGAAATTAGGTGAGAGTAGGACAGGAAACTGATTCTATTCTAAGAAGCTTTGCAGATTTATTTGATCTTTAAAGTAAGTGGTTCTATAATTTGATGAAAATAAAATCCAAATGGTAAAAATAATATATCTAAGGCATTACTTATTGGTTGAGTGCTTTGAAAAATGAAGAAAAATGATTCTCAAAATAAATAGATCTGTGGGAGCGTCTAAACAACAACATATAGACACACATGTATGTTTACACACATCCTGGCATCACCTCCATCTTCAAGCAAGTATATGCTAGATGGAAAGCATATTTTTTCTGTGAGTACTGCAGTTCTTTGGCTAACCTTTATCTATAGATTTTATCACACATTCTTGAGAACTCTTACATGTTAAGTAACTTCGTAGCAAAGGCTAGTCAACAACAAAACAGTGACCAATTTTCTCCTTCTGTCTCCTTACCCAGAATGAAAAACAGAATAAAAATAAATGACACACTTTATCACTAAAAAGCAGTATGCTTCCAAAAAGAGAACAAAATAATAATTGGTCTCATTAAAATTTATAAAAGCATTTGCCTAAATAAGGAATCAAAAACTAACACACACAAAGGAGACAAATAATTACATAAATAATCATATTTAAAAGTTCAGATATCTAGCACTAGAAATTTATAATCACAAGGAGCTCTTTGCAATATAGCAACAGTCAGTGTGTAATGAGGATAAAAACAATTCTCTAAACATTCAGGGATGAAGAGGAGGGAAGGTATTAGGCTGGATTAGCTTTCTGAGTACAAAAATTAAGCAATATGTTAGTTTCTTCCTGTGGTTTAATTTTGATTACCCACCACAACACAGGAAATATATTCTAATACGGGAAACAAGGCGATGGAATGTGGCATAATCATGGATTTTTGCCAATCTTCAGTAGTCCATCAAAGCTCAGCGTGTTACTCTATTACACAGTGTTACTCGCAGCTATTCTGTCAAACACAAACATCTCAAGAAATGAGGCTTAAGAAACTTGTCTACAGTATACTATGATTATTTTATGTTTGATAAAAAATGAATGCTCTTCATTGGCAAGATATACCTTGTAAGGAACTAGGTTCTAATGAACTGGAAGCAGGACTCCACAATACTGGGGAATCATTTACCTGACCATGGCACCAATGAGGCACAGGTGCTTTTCTCCTCTACTTTGTACAGCAATCTCCAGGGGCCCTGGCTAAAGTACACCTTCTAGAAGGGTAGCTTGGGCTGGGCCAAAATTCTTCCAAGCATCACCAATGCTGCTACTCTGTGCTAAGTGCTACCAAAAGCCTCCTGTTGACTGTAGTCTTAGCTTTTATATACAATATAGGTATGTTTCTTTGTCACTTTTCTTATTGCTGGGACACAACTCCCAACACCCACAACTTAAAGGAGTAGAGAGGTTCATCTTGGCTCACAGTGGCAGTGCCTGGTCAGCTGCTTCCAAGGCAGAAACAACATGGTTAAGAGCTCTTGTAGGGGAATGCTGCTCACATAATGGCAGCCAGGAAGCAGACAGTGAAGGGAGTTGCTCAGGATGGAGATGATGTACTTCAGGGCTATGTTCTCAGTGACCACCTTTAAACAAGTCCAACCTTCTGAAAGCACACTCAGCTGCTGAACTCATTAGTGGATGAATCTAGTAATGAGTGTAGGGTCCCCATGACCCAATTGCTTTCCAGATACTCAGGGATACTCCAAATCTAAATCACAACAGCATTAAGAGTACGCAGGCTGCCCGTCACACAGTAGGAACTCAAAATATTTTCAGTGACTGTTATCTTTGGACAAGTACTATGCATTAATAATCCCAAGACAAAGAATCCTAGCCATATTTATTAATAGCTAGGTTATACTCCATATATGTTTAATGCAGTTTTGTATTTCAGTTATGCAAACAATGTTAATGAGAAGCGAGATTTTAATGACTGAATATCTCAAATATTTCTGGAGAGGATTAATTTGTGCAGTTTTAACTCTGAAAACTCAGATATTATTTTCTGGAGAACATGCATTTTTCAAGGTGATTTCCTTAAGTTTTCTTTATTGGTAATTTTGCTGTTGCCAAACTTTTCTTGTTGCTACATGGTAGTTATGGGCCTAAGTTTTGTATTCATTTATCTTGTCCTAGTTTAGTCAGTTTTCTCTCTGTCTCTCTGTCTGTCTGTCGATTTATCTGTTTCAGATACATTGCATTATGTGGGCTTAGTTGTTAGTAGCATACTAATGAAGTTAATTAAAACTATATATTTTACACCACAGAGAAATAATGCATTTATGATCCAATAAATACTCCATTATTTTAAGGGAGACAGTGAAAGTCGCAAGAAATCTTGAAGTTACTTCTTTCCACAAATCAGGGCTTGGCAGATGTATCCCATGAGCTAAATCCAGCTTGCCAACTTTGGTTGTAAGTAAAGTATTTCTGGGTCATGGACACAGTCTCCATTTACATATTGGCTATGGCCTTTTGGTCTACAGCAGTGGAGTTAAGTAGTTGTGACAGAGATGATTTATGGCTTACAAAGACTGAACTATTTCTTCTCTTACACAAAGTGGTTGCCCATTCTTGCCATATAACTAGAGATTATTTCTTTCTGATATGATAAGTTGAAAAGGTACCAGGAGCTAGTATTACAATCTTTACTTGGTAAAACTAAAAATAAGACAATTAAGCTGTAGGATGATTGATTTTTTACTCTGGAAGATACAGTGGCAACACAGACCCAACAAAGGCAAATTTGTTAGAGAAGCGTTTCTTATTTGTAAATTATTTTTTAAGTAGGACCATAAAAGGTAAGCTATTACATTTTAAAACAGTTCCCATTATTTTCTGTGGAAGCAAGAAAAAGGGGATATTTTGTACATTCTCATATGGACGATTTAAATTATTGCTATAATTTTTGAGCAAAACATTCTCCAGGTTTTTTTTCTTTTTCTGTTGTAACATAATAACTGTCATCTGTTGCTTGGCTTGACTGTTCTTTCCTGCTCTTTGTCCATGTATCTTATATTAAATACGTACCAGTGAGGATAATGTATGATAGAGAAAGGCATATACTTGTGTAAAATATTTCTACCTACTCAATACACACAAGTACAAATTTATTTCAGTTTAACTGACTCAAAAACTGAATGCTTTAAATGACCAATTTTGTACCACATTTTGAGACTACAAAATTCTACCTCAACATTATTCCTTACCTACATAATTTGGTTTGGAATCACAAAACTGAAGTGTGATGTTCATTTTGTTCTTTAAATATGAAGAAAAACAGAACAGATTTATTTCTTTTACATCATTCCATTTAGTTAGATGAAGAATTGAATTGTCCAAAGCCTTGCTCTTTCAATTCTCTAGCATATTATAGTATCAACATTAACATAAAAGATGAGGAATTCAAGTGAGAAAAAACACAACTTCATAGCGCCTGTAAATCACCACAGATTGACTTAAATGGTGATATCTGCTCTCACTACATAGCTGTTATAGTAGCACTGGGAGTGATTTTTAATGAAATACATCACCGCGCTAGCTCCCTTATTACCTATCCTCACTACAGTTCCCCTCCATAAAAACCAGTGTTTCTGTACTGACCATGGCAGACCAGGGCAAAGTTAATACAAATTTTGGTAGAATGATGGAGAGCCAGCAATTTCTTTCAGAATAGACTCCTTGGAAAATACATTAAATTTTTTTTTCCTAACCTGCTAGCATGGAGCATTGAAAAGCAATTACCAAATATTTGGAACAAAGCAATGGCACTAGAAGCTAACAATATTTGGTGTCTGCTGTTCAGGTCTAAGTCAGTTCAGGGTTAATTGTGGCTGCATAGGATGGAAACTCCCAAATTTTGGCTGTTGTATTTATCATTGTTGTTTAGGTGTTAGAGATGCAACCCAGGGCCTTTGCATGAAATTTTCTAAAATTTTCAGATACAATCTCAAACAAGTTGCCTGGGGTGGGTTGAAACTCATCTTCCTCCCAGAGTATTGGGGTTATAGTTACATGTCAACATGCCACACTTCTTTCATTCAGAGTCTGGGTAATCCAGGGTGGCATGGTGGTTGAATGACCCAATGACTGGTACCTCTCTGCTACGTTAGTCTTTCCTCCAGCTTTCTCTGTCAAGGTCACCTCATGGCTGGAGCTTCAGCCATCCAGATCATTTTGGGCAACAGGGAGGAAAAATGGGAGAGGGGAACAAAGTGCATTGCTACTCTTAATTAAAGCGGAGTCCTGCTACTAATAGACACTAGTGGAATTGACACTGGATGGCATCTAGAAATTTCCAACAGAGTTTCTTTGGAAAGTGACTTTTCTTTACCTCCTTTGTATGTTTTAAAGAATAAAATGAATCATTTTAACAAATGATAACAGTCAGAGTCTGCTCTCAGGTCCCTAAAGTGGGACAATTATAAAGAATGCTAGACAGCAAAGTCATATGAAAGTTGTCAAAATCCATGGAAGAATTCCAATGGAAGTTTTCCATATTTTATAGCTAATCCTGTATTAGTAATGGTGATTAGAAATTCTAGATAAGAACAGTTGATTCAGATGTGTAAAATCTAAGTTCAGCTTAACTTGGAAGAGAACTATCACTCCAAACAAGTCAAAAGGCAAAAAGTTGGTTTTTTTGGTAAATGTGAAGCTATACATTTTGTTCAAAATCCTGGAAATAAAAAGAAATCTCCTTTAGATTTTGT